CTTCAGGCTTCCCGCGAATCAAATGTTCGCGGGAAGCAGGGGAGGGGGCGGAGTTGGGGCGGGGACTTTGGGGAAGGGGCGGAGTTGGGGCGGGGCGTGGGCGGGGCGGGGGCCCGTGGAGTGTCCTCCTTTTGGAGGCTCAAAATATGGTAACCCTACATGTAGGGATGCACAGTATCTTCCCATCAGCCCTGTTACCGGTGTTGGGGAACCTTCCACCTTTAAGAAGGGACCTCAGACAGCATCAACTAGAGGAAGTCCTTATAGTACTTTTTCACTGGAGTCCATTGGCACAGGATCTGTGTGTGGAAACGCAGATGGCAGGGAATCCATAAAATTGGATGCTGACACACAGCTCCTTCTAGGCAGGGTCGAACTCCCCCATGGAACAACACCTTCCCCCCATGAGTTTGACTGGGCGGGGAGCAATCTGGCCCTAAGAAATTCTGCCCTGTCTTCTCATATTTTATTAAAGAAGCAAAGGATGTAGTATATTTTGTCTGATTTGCCTGCACATAGAGGCCAGTATGAACTAGTGAACAGATCTAAAATCTGCAGTTCTTATAGTCAATATTTTTAGTGATTTTTTTTTCCCTTGAAAAATTCACTTGGCCTGATGCTGAGCCTCACACACCCCACTGCCAATCTGGAGTAAATGCTCTGAAGTGAGGGAGTTACATTAGTGGGGTAGGAAAAAAAACAGTGGGAGATCAGAATCAGGCCCAATAAGTTGGTGATGCATTCAGTGTGCGATAAGGGAGCCCTCCAATGGCAAGTCCCTTGGACTGCAGCCAGAGGCTGCAGATCCTCGTGGAAAGATTTCACGATTTAACTAAATTTAAGATTGAACTAAACAGCACTTTTCTTTCAAGAAACAAAACATAAACAAAACAGTATTAAATATAATGTTCATTACATTTTATCTGCCTAGAGATATTGTTATAAACTAGAAAGATTAAATTTATAATTTTGTAATCTTTATATCCCATCTATTCCTAATTTTTTTCCTTATAATATCCAATACCATATCCTTCTGTGGAGAAAGAAACAATATCAGATGCTGTGTCTATTTCAACAAAGATGGGCAAAATTATGTTGCTTAGTGGAAGAAAAACATGTCTTTTATACTATTACATCTATGAATTTAAATCCTATTAAGACTGTACCTTTATTAAAATTTCTATTAATGTATGTCTGTCGGTGTGATTATGTTCCAATGGGCATGAGTTTAAAGGCTGCTTTACTTTTATTAAAACTTTTATTTGCTTGTTTTGCATTAATGCAATTAAAAAGGAATTAATTCTCTCTAAAGAAAAAAAGATTTGCTTCAAAAAAATTTGCATATTAAAAAAACACCAAGTAGAAACAGTAGTCCAGGCACACAAATTTTAAGATCAGATTCTCCCCTGAATCCCAATTCTGCTTGGTGGCAGGGAGAGAAGAGCCATCAGGGCAATATTATAGCAATCTGAACCTCTGTATGTGGCTGGTGTTAGTTAGAATAGCCTTGGTGTAACAGGGTGGTCTGCCGCTTTAAGGGCCTGGGGCCAGTCAGCCCTTTTTGATGACCAAAACCATCTGGAAAAGCATCAGGTGAACCCTATAAAGAGCTGAGAGAGCTCAGTTGGTGAGATCTGCAGGAGGGAGATGGGTTCTTGCAATTAGTGCTGAAGCAGGGGGATTGACAGAAAGGGAAGAGTAGGGTAGTCTCATTGCCTTTCAGCACTGAAAGAGGTAAGGGGGAAAGCCTCTGTAAGCTGGAGTCTGTGGTGGGCAGAGGAACAGCTTTGTTTTGATGCTTTAAGTTTAAGAATAAAACTGTGCTCTGAAGGAAGGATCTGAAAAGGCTGGGTGTGGAATGGAGACCTTCATGGGCTGGAGAGCCAGGCCAGCTGCTTACGTGTGGGGATGTTATACCACTGGTATATAGCCTTTATGTGACCTGATGCCAGATGTAAGTGGGGGTGGGGGGTGGTCCTGCTATTGTGGGGAACTTTCTTGGCTTATACACTACCCAGGTGGAATTGGCTAGCGAAAGGGTCTGAGTCCTTGTTCCCACTCCTTTTAAGTGGAGAACTGCCTGACTTCGAGGACTTCCCTTCCACTCTCCCAGGCAGCAGAGTCCTCGTAACCTCAACGAGGCTGGGCCCAGGATTCCTGGGAGGCTGAACCCCGAGTCTTGTTGTGGTCTCTTAGGGCAGGGATTGGCAACCTTTGGAACGCAGCCCGCCAGGGTAAGCCCCCTGACAGGCTGGGCTGGTTTGTTTACCTGCCGTGTCTGCAGGTTCGGCCGATCGCAGCTTCCACTGGCCACGGTTTGCCGCTCCAGGCCAATGGGGGCTGCGGGAAGCCGTGCGGGCTGAGCGATGTTCTGGCCGCCACTTTCCACAGCCCCCGTTGGCCTGGAGCGGCGAACCGCAGCCAGTGGGAGCTGTGATTGTCCGAACCTGCAGACGCAGCAGGTAAACAAACCGGTGCGGCCCGCCAGGGGGCTTACCCAAAGGCAGGCTGCATGCCAAAGGTTGCCCATCCCTGGGCTAGGGTATCACCGCTCTGGGGTACTCTCTACTCACTGGACGCTTCCTTGAACCACTGATCATTACATACAGTTCAAAGCAAATACAATTTACTAAACAATTGTAAGGGGAAAAAATGGAAAAGGTTAAAGGAAACAAGTAACCCTGCTGTGTGGGCACAGGGAAACCACAAACAGCAGTCTCTGGGAGATAAGGAAAGTTTAGTCTGTTCCTCACACGTTCCAGGCCCTGGCTGTGCTGCAGTGATAGCAGAGGTCACATCAGACACCTGCTCTGGCAGCGGTCGTGCACTCTCAGGCTCTAGGTGGCAGGACCCTTCTTCCCAGCATAGGCCCTCCCGGGGGTGTCATAACCCTCCTACAAGACCTCTTGTCTGGTGACATCTCCTTGCGCTGGGCCCTCACTGCCCAGGGTCCAACCTCACTCTCCCCAGCTGCTCACCACACTCGGCTCCTGTGTTACTGGCGGCACAGTGGACATCCACTCCCTCGCTCTGGGCCCACAGCTCCCTGCTGTAGCTCAACCCTGGCTCTCCATCAGCACAGCGGGCCTGGGCTGCTCTAGCTCCGCCTCCTCTGGCTCCATGCTGCTGCTCTGCCTCCAGTTCACACAGACAGGACCCAGTGCTCCTGGCTCCCTCATTGGCCTGCCTGCCCTGTCATTCAGGCTGACCTGGCGCTTTGGCCTCTCCCCATTGGCCTTGGGGACTGTCAGTCTCAGGATCTTGATTTCTCATCAGCCCTTCCCCTTTCTTTTGATACTGGGAGAGGTCAACCAAAAAGCCCCACTAACTAACTTTCAGTTAGGGGCCAACAGTCCCCTTACACCAATGGTTCTCAACCAGGGATCTGCATACCACTGGGGGTACACAGAGGTCTTCCACAGGGTACATCAACTCATCTAGAGATTTGCCTAGTTAAAAGCACTAGTGAGTAGTGAAGTCAGTACAAACTAACATTTCATACAGAAAATGGCTTGTTTATACTGCTGTATATACTATACACTGAAATGTAAGTACAATATTTATATTCCAACTGATTTATTTTATAACTATATGGTAACAATGAGAAAGTGAGCAATTTTTCAGTAATAGTGAGCTGGGATACTGGAATTTTTAGGTCTGATATTGTAAGCAAGTAGTTTTTAAGTGAGGTGACAAGACAAATCAGACTCCTCAAAGGGGAACAGTAGTCTGGAAAGGTTGAGAGCCACTGCCTTACACAGAGGAGGATCATACTGTAGCTCTGCTATGTTCTCTGCCCAGCACTGACAAATGGTAGCGGGCGGCAGACATAGCAGCTGGCTTCACAAGAGGAGTTCCCTGCTGGCTATTTATAGCTGGAATCTGGCCACTTTGTGCCACCTGAGCTTAATAGGGCCAGCATTTGGCCCCATTACACCCATTTTGGGAGTCCAACTTAAACCTGCTGTGTAACTTTCACCACTGTTTATTGTACACCACTGCTATACTTGGCCCCTACTTTCTAAATATAAGGGATGATACAGAATGCTATTGCAGTACTCCTCCCTCGTGATTGGAAGGACGCTCATCTCTCCATCAACTTCGCTGTCTTCTTATCAATCCCCATCCCCACTTGTTTGTTTTTCTTTCCCCAGTTGCTGCATAGAGAACTGAAGGTTTCCATGATTAATTAATATTACTGACTATTAAGTCTTTGTCCAGCTGGGGGTGTTCTCATACCGCATATGACAGATCCCAATCTGCACAGTTAGCATGACTTGGAAATCAGAGCTAGGCCTAAAAACTCTCCCAGTCACATACTTCCAATTAGACCCAATTTTACCTCAGTCCCACGTTAATCTGGTGTTTGTTCCCTTTTGTCATTGTGTCAGTAATTTACAGCAGAAACATAGTCACAAAACAGAGGCTTATAGAAAATGTTAACTAGCAATTGAGCCTGCATTTTTGCTACTCTCCCACATTTTGGGGATCTGTCACACAGCTGGGCTCAGAAAATTAAGACATAATGACAGAAGACGTGTAGATTCTGAATTGGTGTAAATTAGTGTAACTCCATTGAAATTGGTGGTGCTACACCAATTTATGGCAGCTAAGAATCAGGCCTGGTGCGCACTGAAAGCGGTAGATATTCAGAACCCCTACATGCAGTTGGCTTTAAGCTGGCTAAATCAGATCAATATTGATGGTCTAGCTACAAGAGTGGTACATGGGAACTATC